AATTAGTGCATGTTAAACCCACAGACCTGAATTGATGTTAGGGTTTGTGTGTTGTGTTACAGCCTAATTTAGTTGTTGTGCTCTGCTCTTGCTCTCTGTGCTTCCTGCTTTATCCCTCTGCCTTTTGTCTGCCTGAAACTTGCCATAAAACCTCTGCTCATCTGTGTTCAAAGCGTCTTGTGTGAGGTCTCTGCCTGCTGCAGAGGCTCCTGGTTGACCTTTGTGGCTGAGCTGGAGCCAAGTCCTGTGTCTGACCCCACTATCAGGTAACTGAATCCTCATGCCAAGTTCCTGGGAGGGTTCAGGGTGTCAATATTCAGCACTTCTGTCACAAGGGTTTGGCTCATGAAAGCTGAAAAGTTACATAACAGGAGCTCATGATGAGACCTTTGTGCTTGGCTGCTGTGCTGCTTCCAGAAGGTGCTTTTGGAGGAAGAGCTGGAGCTGAGCCTGTGGAAAAGAACCAAGCTGGAGATGTTAAATTGCAGTTTTAACCTCAAAGCAGCTTCAGCCTCTGGAGCTGGTGGAAATTCTTGCTTTTCTCTGTCACCTTTGTCTTGCGAGCTCTTCTTTCAGCACAAGACAAAGTTGAGCCCATGTCACCTCCATCTAAATCAACCTTTTTCCCCTCTAAATTTGCTGATGTAGGAATACATTTCTGCTCTGGAGTCTCCCACACTGCTGTGCCCATGAAGTCATTTAAAGCCACAATCACTCATTTTAAGGTGAATTTAGTAAGAATTTTTTCACAAGAGAGTGATTAGACACTGGAATGGACTGCCCAGGGGGGTGGTGGAGTCATCATCCCTGGAGGTGTTTAATGAGCCACTGGATGTGGCACTTAGTGTCATGGTCTAGTTGACATGGTGGTGTTAGGTCATAGGTTGGACTTGATGATTTGTTTGATTTGATGATCTGTTGGACTTGATGATCCAGCCTGTTTGATTCTGTGATTTCTGACCACATGAACTTATTTTGTGCTGCTTGAGGATGTGGATAAACCAGAGAGGGACCTTGTTCAAGTCCTGCACTTCAGGAGCCAGTCACCTGATCATTTCCTCTGTTGCTTATGAGATTTATCTGCACACTGAGTAATGAGCTTCTTGGGAGCTGCTGCAAGGAGATACTAGGATTGCAGGGAGCATCAAGGGATGTGGGGGAAATTGAATGGATCAACAGACCTATAAATGGCTACTAAAAGGACAATTGATCTTTCAGCTGTGGTGCAAATGGAACAGATCACCAGTAATACTCTGTGTGTGCTTGTGGAAGTTGTTCTTCCCTGTTTTTGTTGTGCTAGCAGCAATGTGTTTCTGACCCACAGCCTGTGTGTTCTGGTGTTTTTCAGACAGACGAATGGCGCCTCAGCTGCATCAATAAGGAATTCTCTGTCTGTCCCTCCTACCCTCCAGTTGTCATTGTCCCCAAATCCATCGATGATGAAGCTCTTCGGAAAGTTGCCATGTTTCGCCATGGCAGTCGCTTCCCAGTGCTCAGCTATTACCACAAGAAGAATGGGATGGTGAGCTGTGTTTGAGGAATGATTGTGCCTGAGGGAAGTGGGTGAATCCCTTTGTTTCATGGAAAAACATCTTGTGCTCTAGAATTAGCACAGTTCATGAGACATTTGCTTGGTTTATTTTCCAACTTCCTAAGTGGTTGTGGGTGATGGAATGAGTAATCTCCATCCTAGAAATAGCTGTTAATCTGCTTGTTTGGGAATGTGCATGGCACTTGCTTACAGCAGTAAGAGCAAGATGAGACTTGTAAAGCCACTGCTGGCACCCTGACTTGCTGTGGGTGCCAAGAGGCTTCATGGAAAGCATGGCAGGAACCACGGTGTCTTGTCCGTGAGCACTGGGCTGTCTCCTTCGTCACGGTGGTGACAGCAAAGCCACAGTGCTTCTGTGTGACTCCTTCTGTGTGAAAGAGGAGCAGAACAATCTGTTCTCTGAGCCTGGCAGTGTAACACAATGCAGGAGTAGCAAATTCTTGGTGTTGCAGAGACTTTATCACCTTCTGCCAAAATCTAATGGAGTGACTGATATGCTGTAATTAAGAAATGCACTGTATGGAACTGTTGAGTAATTGTGTCTCTTGCTTATGTAACCAGTTCTGAGGAGGTTGGGATGTCCAACCTGCAGCTTTTAAATTTGATACAGGCTCCTCAGATGCTCTAATGCCTTCTCACCTCCTGTTGCCAAGATCTGTAAGCCTTGAGTTAGAGGATATTTAGTCTGACTTAGTAGTACCTTTGCCTTGATTTAAAATCAGCCAACCACCAAATCCATATCAGTTGTGCTTTATGCTTTTGCTCAGTTCAGCCAAAAACCATCAAAGGAAGATTTGCTTAATTATCTCTTCAAACTATGCATGTTTCAAGAGTGAGGAGTATAGTAGGTTTTGGCTCTGAGTGCTTGAACTTGTGACAGTAACACTGTCCTGCATGTTGCCCTTCCGACACTGAGTTCTCCAATGTCCTTGGGGTTGCTGACTGGCTGCCCTTACAGTTAACATTTTTGGCTGCTGGGGAGCTCCTGTATTGGAAGGCATTTACTGAAGAGAAATGTCAGCTCCTAAATCTGTGGACTTAAGGTTTATTAGTCTTTCCACAGGGTAAACTGTCCCTAAGAGGTATGTTTAACTTGGGAATGACTTAAGTGTCTTCAGAACAGAGTTGGGAAGAGGCTTGAAAGATGACAATCCTTAAAATGTTGGTTTCGTAGAATTCTTGTTGGTTTGGGTTGGAAGGGACCTTAAAGCTCATCCAGTTCCATGGTCAGGGACACAGTCCACTAGAACAGGTTGCTCCAAGCCCCATCCAACCTGGCCTTGAAAAATTTCAGGGATTTATGATACTTTGAGGGTTTATAAAGGATCCATCGGCAGAAAGCCAGCTGAACATCAGCCAAAGATGGTACTGTAGGAATAATTAAAGGGATAAAGCCTCTAAGATGATGTCTGTAATTTAAAACTTGGCCTGGCAAATGGTGGCTCGATCCAAGGGTATCTAGTTCATATTTTACATACATTCAGCCCCTGCAAGGGATTGAACTTAAAAGAACTGAAGGATTTAGTGCAAGGCTTGGAGCTCAAGTGATTTATGCCTTTCAGTTGGAGTTCTCCCCATTCCCAGTGCCTAACTGATGGTTCTGTGTGTCCCCAGGTCATGATGAGGAGCAGTCAACCCCTTACAGGCACCAACGGGCGCCGCTGCAAAGAAGATGAGAAGCTGATTAATGCCACTCTGCGGCCTGGCAAGCGTGGCTACATCATTGACACCAGGTCCCTGAACGTGGCCCAGCAGGCCAGGGCCAAAGGAGGGGGTTTTGAGCAAGAAGCTCACTACCCCCAGTGGAGGAGGATTCACAAGTGCATCGAGAGGTGGGTGGAATTACTCAGTTCTCCGCTGTGCTTGGCTTTGTTGGGTTGCATTGGCAGAGCCATGGTAGCTCTGTAAAGTAGTTGCTTCTGTAAGAAGAGTTGTGTATCCTGGTTGTTGTCAACAGGGTCATGTTGCTTTCATGGCAAAATCAGGATATGTGGATGATAAAGGTATTTGGCTTTTAGTTCCTTGATCTGAGCAACCTGCTGTAGGTTTCAGACATCAGGTGGGTCTCCCTGTGCCATCTCTTTTCCTGACTATCCATAGCCACACTCCAGCCTTCCTGTGTTCCCCTTTGCAGAGGAAGGAGCAAGTACCTTGCCAGAAAACTTGCGCAGGTGAGGATTTGTTCTGTGGTAGTCAAACTCCTCTTATCTGAAGGGTTTGCCCAGAGAGGTTGTGGATACCCATCCCTGGAGGTGTTCCAGACCAGGTTGGATGGGACTCTGAGCAGCCTGGTCTAGTGGAAGGTGTCCCTGCCCATGGCAGGGGGTGGAACTAGGTGGCCTTTAAGGTCCCTTCCAGCCCAAACCCTTCTGGGATTCTATGATCCAGAATTTGTTTTTCTAGGCATTTAATATTGTTTGGTCATTTGGGGACAAGTTTCTAAGTTAAACAGACTTTTAGTCTGGTCTTGTTCAACTGCTCTTAAGCCTTAATTTTGGGGAATCCTTCTAGACACAGATGCAGTGATGTTACTGGAGCTATTGGAAAGCAGTCACTCCTCTCATCACTGTATAGACCAGCTTGTGAGGAGTTAATTAAGGAATTTCCTGGCCATTCCTTTGAAGTATTTGGTTTTGCTTCTAAAGATTTTACATGAACTTGAATTTGTTGTTGATGATTTTATAGGTGGACGTAAGCATGGACGTAAGGAATGACTAAACCACAATATACGAGCACTAAATAATTCATGTCCTTGTTCCTATGTTACTGCTTGTGTTTTCAACAATATTTTCCTTTTCCCAAAGGTTTAATATCCTGCAGGAAAGCCTCATCAAACTGGTGGAAGCCTGTAATGATCAGTCACACAACATGGACCGCTGGCTCAGTAAACTGGAGGCTTCCAACTGGCTAACTCACATCAAGGAGATCCTGACTGCAGCTTGTCTGGCTGCTCAGTGCATTGACAGGTAAATCTTTTGCAGAAAGCCTTGAGTATCTCATTCACTCCTTATAGATTGCTCCTTAAATACCTCTGGAAGTATTAATAACTGCCCACCATGATCTGGCTGGATTGTACCTGTGTTTAATTGTGGGGAAGGAATGTTCCTCCAGTAAGTCATGCTGAGGGAGGAAATCTTGACTAAGAATAGATTTTAGATCATGTAGTTGAGGTAAATTCCTGTGTCTGATGCAGCCAATCTGATTTGAATAGTTTTAGGGAAGATTTAGGTTAGAATGTGCCTCTCTGAAATGCTATTTGGTATCCAAGTGAGGCCACAGAGTAGTTGTTTTTTAAGAAGTCCTTTTCTCTTTTCAGCTTTAAGTTTCCAGTGCCTCACCTCACTTCCAGAGGTTAAAACAATGGCATCTCCTTGTTTTCCCCATGAATTGTTCCCCTCTTCCATTCTGATACCCACAGCCTTGTCTAAGCAATCCTGCTCATCCCTCCTTAGTGCTCATGGCCTCCTTTAACCTGACCTTCATTTCAAAAATACTGCTGACTCTGCTAACTTGTCTTTAGAGCTCAGGCTGGAGAGCCAAGGCTCTCTGTCAGGTGCCAGGGTTTGTAAGGCCAAATGCAGGGATCTAAATGGGTTTTATTTGTGGCTCAGAGTAGAAAAAGCCCATCTCAAAACTCTTCATTCCAACTGGGGAATGTGTTCTACAGGCACACAAACAGGCTGAAATGGAGTCACAGTGGTAAAAGAGCATTAAAATATGAGTTCTGTGTGCTTTTTAAAAGCACTGATAGTGCCTGTTCCATTGCTGGCTGTGCTAGAGAAGGTTTGCTCTGGATCAATACTTTTATCTGGAATTCTTTCCTGTATGTGTAGAATGAGAAAGATCAGTGACGAAACCCTTCTGGGTCGTTGGGACAGTGCCTGATTTCACCATTTTTAACCTCAGTTTGGCTTCTGCTGTTTCCCTGAAGCTATAGCAGGACAGCTCCAGGTGCCTAACTTGCCTCACTGGGAGCTTGCAGGTCAGAGCTGAGCTGACAAGGATGGTTCCATATTTGCCATGGAGAGGAATGGCTGGGACAGATCTTGAAGCACCTGAAAGGTTTGGAGCCTGAAAGATGACAGGGAAAAATAGGGTTATCCTGGAGTGGCTCACTTCGAGGAGGGCATAGGCTGGCAGTTTGGCTTTGGAACTGTACTTGGCTGCTCAGCAGCGTATTTATCTGACACTGCTGGAGGAGGAGAAGAGAAAGGTTTAGATAAGATAGGAAATGTAGGCTTGGATTAGATATTAGGGAGAAATTCCGTGCTATGAGGGTGGTGAGGCACTGGCACAGGTTGCCCAGAGATGTTACAGACTCCCCATCTGCAAAATTGTTCCAGGTCAGGTTGGATGGCCCTTGGGGCAACCTGGTCTAGTGGAAGGTGTCCCTGCCCATGACAGGGGGTGGAACTAGGTGGTATTGAAGGTTCCTTCCAACCCAAACCATCCTGTGATTCCATGTAAGTATCTGAAGGTTATCTATACCATAAATGCACTGGGTTTAGTTTAGACATGGAACTGTAGACAAAGATGTTGCACTGCTTAAGTTATTTTATGCTTTTCACTTCAAAAAGCAAGAAATGGCTGAAGGGTTACTTGTTTGGTAGATTGATCTTTCTTACCCACACTTTGTCCTTACCTTGGATCTCTGCACAGAAACAAATCCAACCTGCAGTTAATTTCCTTTCTAGATGTGAGGATGTTGGCCGAAGTGAGATGTTGGGTCAAGGTCTGGGAAGAGTAAAGGTTAATGCCACTTAGTACCATCCTTCCTTCAGGAGCATATGGATGAAATTAGAGGCATGGAATCATTAAGCTTGGAAGAGCCCTCTGAGATCATCTCACCAGCACTGCCAGGGCCACTATGTCCCCAAGTGTCACATCTACACTGCTTTTAAATCCCTCCAGGGATGGTGACTCCACCACTGCCCTGGGCAGCCTATGCCAGTGCCTAACCACGTTTCCATGAAGAAATTTCCCCTAATATCCAACCTAAATCCCACCCTGGCACAACTTGAAGTTGTTTCTTTTTGTCCTATGACTTGTTCCCTGGGAGCAGTGCCTGACCCCCACCTGGCTGCACCTCCTATCAGGGAGGTATAGAGAATGAGAAGGTCTCCCTGAAATGATCTTGATACAGTGTCCAAGTACAGCCTAGGATGGAGAAGAGGGAAGGGAATCAACTATCCTGGACAGTCCCCACTGGCCTGTCACTCCCCAAGTGACAGCACATGGGTTCCTAGCAATGTGCAAAACTCTCTGAGCTCCCTCTGCTCCTCACATTGTTCTGCTGCTTCACCTGTGCTGGCTGGTGAGTGAGGAGCCTTTGGGCTTGGCTTTTGGACGAGTTTCCTTGCTCAGCACACTAACTGCTGCCTTTATGGAGGCCAAGCTCTGCCTTGTTTGTCCTCCATTCTCCTGGATTGGTTTATGAGCTTATTTTCCTTGCAGTAAGTGCCAGTCAAGGCCCAAACTAAACCCAAGTTTGAACAAGAACCTCCTTGTATTGTTTTGCAGAGCATGTGAGGAGGTGATACATCTTCACTGCAGTGCTTAGGGAAGATCTCAGAGTAGTTAGCAAGCAGTAAGTGACACAAGCAAATTTTGAGCTGCATTTCCATGCTCTGACTCAAAGGGATACCAGTCCAAAAGAGTGAGAACCACAGAAGAGATCTCACTGTGCATCTTAGGTTAGTGTGGCAGAGGATCACATTTCCAGAATGCTTAGCAACAAACTGAGCCTGGTTAGTGTTGGTGAGGGTCCAGGTGAGAAGGTGGGATGCTTCCATGTGGGATGGGGAGGGAAGGGAGCCAACAAAACCTCAACATTGTCAGGGTAACAACCCTGGTATCTGTGGGATGTAATGGCATCCACAGGGATATGTATGTCCTTGGGATGTGTTCTGCTCTTTCATACTCTTATCCCTTCCCACCTTTTTCTTTTACAGGGAAGGTGCTTCAGTGTTAGTCCATGGGACTGAAGGAACTGATTCAACACTCCAAGTCACTTCTCTGGCACAGATTATCTTGGATCCAAGGTGCAGGACCATACGTGGCTTTGAGTCTCTGGTTGTGAGGGAGTGGCTGCAGGTAAGAAATACCTATGGACAGAACAGCAATCTGTTCCAGAGACAGATGAATTGGGAAATATCCTGAGAGGCAGCAAACAGGTTGAGTCTTGTTGCTGCCCTGCTTAGTGTGAATGGCCTTTGTCCTCAGAGCAGCTTCATTGTCTGAGTCATTTGCACTTTTGGCACTCTCTGGGGTCTCTGCCTCTCCTTATAGTTGGGGGACTGCCTGCTTTGTATGCTCAGGGTGAACATTTCTTATCACAGAACAGTTTGGGTTGGAAGGACCTTAAAGCTCATCTAGTTCCACCCTCCTGCTATGGGCAGTGTCACCTTCCACTGGAAAAGGTTCCACCTCTTCCATCTCATTAGAGCTAACACTGTTCAGTCTAAATCACGGAACGTGTTCTGCTCTTTGTGCATTTGCAGCCTGGTCCTCTGGTGCACCTGCACTAGTTTGTTCTGATCAAATTCTCTGAACAAATGCAGAACCATTCACAGCCTGAGAAAAGCAGCAAAGTTGGTTCATAGAATCACAGAATGGTTAAGGTTGGGAAAGAGCACTAAGATCATCAAGTTCAACTATTCTCCAGCCCTGCCAAGGCCACCACTAACCATGTCCCCATGTGCCACATCCACATAGCTTTTAAATCCCTCCAGAGATGGTGACTTCACCACTGCCCTGTACAGCCTGTGCCAGGGCTTGGTAACCTTTTCCAAGAAGAAATTTTCCCTAATATCCAATCTAAACCTGTTCTGGCACAACTTGAGGCTGTTTCCTCTTGTCCTGTCCCTTGTTCCATGGGAGCAGAGCCTGACCCCCACCTGGCTGCACCTCCTGTCAGGGAGTTTTAGAGAGTGAGAAGGTCTCCCCTGAGCTTCCTTTTCTCCAGACTGAACATCCCCAGCTTCCTCAGCCACTGCTCCTGTTTCAGCCCCTTCCCCAGCTCCAGTCCCTTCCCTGGACATGCTCCAGCCCCTCAGTGTTTTTCTTGTGAGGGTCCCAGAACTGCCCTTGGGATTGGAGGTGCTCAGCAGTACTGGCACAGGGGATAATGGTTACTAGCAGCTTGTTAGTGGGTGCTTGAGCACTAACAGCATGGACAAAACTAGCTCTAAAGTGTATTTGCCACATGTACTCGCACCCTATTGTTGTTGTCCCACAGGCTGGTCACCCTTTCCAGCAGCGCTGTGCCCAATCTGCCTATTCCAACAGCAAGCAGAAATGGGAGGCCCCGGTGTTCCTCCTCTTTTTGGACTGTGTGTGGCAGATCCTTCGGCAGTTCCCTTGCTCTTTTGAATTCAACGAACAGTTCCTCATCATGCTCTTTGAACATGCTTATGCTTCCCAGTTTGGGACTTTCCTGGGAAACAATGAAAATGAAAGGTTGGTAAGGAAGCTTAATTTGAACCCTTGTAGTATTGGGCTCTATCTGACAAAAAGGTGATCATGGAATCATGCAATGGTTTGGGTTGGAAGGGACTTTAAAGCTTATCTAGTTCCAACCCACTCCTATGGGCAGGGACACCTTCCACTAGACCAGGTTGCTCCAAACCCTGTCCAACCTGGCCAAAAATCTCCACCCATATCACCAGTTTATGTAGTCTCTTTCACAGAAGCTCTTCCATAAAAGAATAAACAGCTGGAGGTTGACATGAGTCATAGCCATGGGAAGCAAACCTGTCCATGCAGGCCTGGAGGAGAAGGTCAAAGCAGTCAGAGGCCAAAGATGGCAAGTCTGGGCCTTACCTGTCAGGGAGGAACATGACTCTGTGGCCTGGAGGTCCCGACACCCCCCCAGGTGCAGCCCTAAGTGGAGCTCCTGGGAGTAAACAGAGTGGTGGACTAGAGCTTCCCACAGCTTCCAGAGAGGTTTGGATTCCTGTTTTGAGCTTGGCAGTTGTGCCCTGAGGACTCCTGACTCTAGTGAGACCATGTCTGATGGCCTCCTGCTTAGCTGAACATCCCTGAAGGAGCAGAATGGAAAACAACTGGTATCACAGATAAGGCAATTTAAAGCTTTCTCTGAACCTCTCTGCCCTTAAAGTAATCTTGTCTTAGAAGAGTCTGCTGCCTTCTGCAGGGCTGCTGAACTAGTCGTCTGCAAAACCAAGTTAGACTTGAAACCAATAAGATGAAATTTGGAAGAGTATTGAATGTTACATGTAATAACCTGCCTGTCACATCTGGGCACGTCAGCCTGTGAGCACACAGAGTGTTTGAAGTCTGATGTTAAGCTTGTGCTGTCTGAAGCATTCAGGGGGATGGTGAATCTCCTGCCTGGCTGGCAGTTCAATTTGCTAGTGCAGGCAGAATGAGATTTGCTGGAATCTAAGGAATGGGGAGCCCTGTGTAACTCCTGGAGGTGGGTTTGCCCCAGGAAAACAGCACTGCTTGCTCACTGTGCTCAGATCCTTCCTGCCACCAGAGGGACCTGTCAGACATGCCCATTGCACAATTCCAGCAATAACACTGCTTTAACATACTGGAGAATTCTGTTTCCATCCTTCCCTGATGCAGACCTACCCCACCTCCCAGCTCTACCTTAACAGAGGAGCTCAGTCCCTTTCCAGTCCTGGCACTGAAACCACTGTGTGGTGGTGACTTGATTCTTAGCAGGCAGCTAACTTCCACCCAAATTATAGATGTTATTTCCCCCATCTTTTAGTCAAAACTAATTGCAATCAGCCAGGTTGAGTAAATTGCCTTAGGTTTACACCCTGTGGCCTGTTGGTGAGAAGTACTGAAGGGATTAGCCTGGATTATCTGGGCCAGTAGCACATGGAAAAGCTTGTGGCCTTCTAGTCCATGTGGTTCTGACTAAAAGTCTTTACAGATAAAAGTGTATAAAACTGATTTGTTCCTGTGGGTTTCTTAGGGCTAAACTGAAGCTGCCTCAAAAGACCATGTCCCTGTGGTCCTGGGTGAACAGGTCTGAAGAACTGAGCAAATTCCAGAACCCTCTTTTTGAGGCCAATAGCCTTGTCATCTGGCCCTCTGTGGCCCCACAGAGCCTGCAGCTGTGGGAAGGTAAGCCAGGCCTGATTTTCCTGTTAAAGGAAATATCTATTTTGTGACTATTTGTAAAGCTTCTCCATTCCTGACCATTTTGGCCAGGATAATCCCTGTGCAGTGGGTTCCCTGCTGCAGAAACTTTCTCCATTCCATGGGTGCTGAGAAGTTAATAGTGAAGCAAGCAGGCTGTCATGGCAGGGTGGAGATGGAATATGGGTTGGTCTGATGAGTATATGAGGAAAAAAGGAATGAAACCTCCTCATTTTTCCTTCATTGACCTGAATGGTGGATGTGGAGAGGAGGGTCAGTGTTTCTAACTGCTTTTTAGTGGGGCAAGTAAGGGGGGAATGTGTAACTGTGTGCACCTTCCTTGAGAGCTGATGGAATAGGAACAGCATTCCCTCCTGGCAACAAGAAACACTCATTTTGTGTCTCTGGGCTCTCAGGTGTCTTCCTTCGGTGGAACAGACCTTCCAAGTTCCTCGACGAAGCCCAGGAAGAAATGATCAACATTATAAAATACAACAAGGAACTTCAGGCCAAGGTTAATGCCTTGAGGAGACAACTGGCAGAGCTGGAGACAGATGACAGGATGCAGGAGAACCTGTGAGCTGGCAGGGCTTTGCCTCAGGTCTTTCCTTTCCAGACCCACTTTACATTGAAGACTAAACATGGCAAGTGCATGTGTTGCTGAGCCCTGGGGTACAGCTGCCCCTCAGCCTTCCCACTGCTGAAACCTTCACACTATGTTCCTCCCTGCTTTTTGGGGAGGGATTTTTGTTTTGTTTACAGAAGACACACACAACTGGACACAGTGTCCTCTCTTGGCAGCTTTTCTGTCTTGAAATTGTGGACAGTGTCAGCAGAAGCTGGAACTCTTACCTCCAACTGTATGGATGACCAGGATGGGCCAAGAGACAGGATGTCTCCAATTTATTTTGGACTTTTGCTGGTTTTGTTGAGCTCTCTAAACACTCACAGGATTGAAATGCAGAGTTCTATATAGATAGGTAAAGGCATTTTGTCTGAAAGCACCTTTTCTCTCCAAGAGTAGGTAAGGCAGCTTAGTCCTTTAGTTTCCTAGAAAAATTAGAAGTTGTTAAAATCTAACTACAGGTTCTGCCAGTCTAGAGGACACTCTCAGTAGCCTTCACATCTAACACTTGGGGATTTGTGTTCAGCATTGGCTTGGGAGCAGAAAGTGAAGTACCAAACCAGAGTAAGATATTTCAGTGCAATACAGAACTGAAGTAGGGATTCTGCTGCTAATGTGTAAGCCATGACCTTCAGGTGAAAATTGTCCCTCGTGGACAAATATCTCCTAAGGATTAACAAACTTTTTATTTTACCTGGAAAACAAAAAGGTTTAGTAGTTGGAGGTGTTCCCTTGCAGAACAGGGGCTCAGAGCTGTCCTGTTAACAGAGCCACGCTGCCTTCTTGAAACTTCAGCTGCCCTGGCTGGGTTTGGACACCTGGTCAGGTTCCAAGGTGCAAGAGCAGCATTTCATCCACAGCTCAACAAAGCACTTCTGCTCCACCTGATGTGCTTTTCCCTCTTGTGCTCTTACACCCATGTTGTGAAACCTTGGAAGCAGAAGTTGGGAGTTGAGGTGACCTCACAGATCAGCTACAGATTAGGAGGCCATCACACTACAAAAAATGCTAAGAGTTTAGATGATTTGTAGCTACTAAAACTGCTTAAAGACTTTAGGGATAAGCTTTTTTCCATTTAACTTTGTATGTTGTAGCTGCTCTTTCTGTGTCTGTGAGTTCAATCTGCTTTTACAAAATCAGAGTTTTTTGTGGTAATTTTTCTTTTTCTCCTTTAAAAAGACAGATAAGAGCAAGTCTGAAATACTCACTGAGGCATTTTTTCAGCTTGATTCCGTGGATAGCTGGACAGGACAGAGAGGAGTTGAATTAACAGCAGCACATGTGGTTGGGATTATCTGGAAAGGCGCTTGCTGTTATCCTCATTCTGCTGGAATGAGTGGAGCTGCAGTAGGTCAGTGGTGATCCCTTTGGAAGCTGTTGAGCTTCCAATTTATGGAACGAGGCTGCCTTTATTTTAAAACCACTTCCCATAGCTACCTGTGAAAATGCAGGCTCTGTAGTTGTTGGAGAAGTAGCTGGAGAGTAATCTGCTAAAATCTTGGAGCCACTAAATGTATTACAAGAAAACTCTACAGCCAAGAGAGATACACAAAATTGTGTGATAGTGATTAAGTGCTACTTTAATGCCTTTTGTTCGGTCTTTATTTCCTTAAACATTTTCTTCTTGGCTAACCTAAACTTAGCCCTGAAGTCCTCTGGCTTAAGAAATAACAAGATCCCTTTTAAACCATTGCTCACTTAAGGCAGAAGAGTAATTCCTCCTGCTTGTAACAGTTTTGGAGAGCGATGGTCTTGTTCACTAAAACAAGTCTGACATTGAGAATGCTGCTCAGGTTGTCTTCAGTTTATTTTGGACTTTTTCTGGTTTTGTTGAACTCTCTAAACACTCACAGGATTAAAATACAGAGTTCGATATAGATAGACAAAGGCATTTTATCTGAAAGCACCTTTTCTCTCCAAGAGTAGGTAAGGCAGCTTAGTTCTTAGTTCTGGTGATCTGTGCTGCATAGCAGAGGAGGCACAAGTTGGCTGTTCCTTCTCCCACATCCAAATCTGACTCCTGGAGATATCTTCTAGGGTATGTTGCTAATATAAGCCCTTAAAATTCTTGTTCACCCCTTAAAATGATGTCTGTGGGATCTGCACCTGCCTGGGTGCTGTGTCCCTACCCAGTTCAGCATTTCTCCATCTGAAATCCATTATCCCCAGCCAGATGGGAAGGATTCAGAAGGCACTATTTTCCCTGTAATAGACTATACATAAAACACACTAAAAGGTTATGCAATTTCCTAACACAGTAATTATATATTGAGCTAAATAATAGAGAAGCAGAGAGGGTTTTTTTGGGATCTAATTGCTCGGCTGCTTTAGCCTTTCATGCACACTGCAGACATCTGAGGAAATTGGGTAACCAGCTGTGACAGCTAACAAAAGGCAGCACATTTCCTCTGAGCTGGCATTTATTTCATCCTCCACTTGTGTCTCAGGGCTGAATCCACACCCAAGAGCTGTGTGTGCCTTGGCTTGGTGGGAGTGTGGATCACAGCCATCATGTGGAAGTGCTGGTGGCATCCCCAGCAGTTCATTCCCTGATCCCTCTGCCTTGCAGCCCCTTGTTGTCCCTGCAAACGTGGTGCAGTGCTGTGAGGTACTGCAGGTGATGGAGTTGAGACAAGATGTGTGATATTGTAGGTCCTCCTGGGAGAGGACAGTCCACAGAGCTCTTGTGTGAGGCTGTTGCATGTTCTCTTTAAATCTTTCCATTCCCAGTACTTCCCAGGCTCCAGTCTGGTGTGATACACACTCCAGTTCTTTGCTTTCCTGCTTGTCCACTGTATTTAATCACATATTTATTACTGATGATGGGTTTGCTCCCTCTTAGAGGGGGACACCTGCCCTGTGAAGTCACTGTTTGCAGGTTCCCTGTGTCTTCCTGAGCTGCAGATGCTGTGGCAGTGCCCAGCTCTGCCTCTTCCCTGTGCCACTGCCTTACACCCTTGCTGACACACTGCTTCTGCTCTTTTGCACACTTATTTGTGTAACAAGCTGGACACTGAGGGCCCCAGTCTCCAAATTTGGGGTCAATCAATGTGGACACTCTGCCATTTACCAAAAAAAAGAAAAAAAGAAGGGAAAAGGAACTAACTTGCACAGTTTTCATAAGGGAAAAATGTACCTTCAATATTTTGATTGTATTGATCTAACTCTTGAATGTGGCGCTGGTTTAAGTGCACTATTTGTCCATGTTGCATAGGATATAACTTAAAATTGCACTGTAGAGCATTTTGGTGTCTCATGTGTGCTTTGCTAAAGCCTTGGGAAGTGCTCTTGTGTGTACAGGTTCCTGTATGAGGGGGAAAGGCCTATCCTAGCACTCCCTGTATCCTGTAATAGCAGCACTGTGTGACGTGTGCTATGTATCTGTTCACTACTGCCAGTTTAAATGATGAGTGCACTGCTGTCCTAACATCTGGAGTTGCTATTTGGACTTGGCTGCTGCATCAGTCTTGGTTTTTCTTGTAAAATTTCAACTCGCAGGGCTGGGAGTTGTGTGCTGTTGTTAGGTGTATGCTGTATATGTACAGAGTCCCAGCTGCTGTGGCGTGGAACATATTGCAAAACAAGTGACAAATCTGAGGTAAAAAGATCATGGCTCAAAGTTCAGCCATTTGTGGGAAGAAGAACAGATACAAAGTGGCTGTAAACTTTGCTGTAGATCTGTTGAGAACATAGTAGATATGTCTGTTAAATTAAAACCTTGAAGACTGAACAGTTCTTTAATTATACTGCTGAATCTTCTTTATTAGTGCTTCCCACAGGAGGGATGTGTGTGTGTGTGACTTGGATGTAAGCTCTTGCCTGAAAGTCTGGCTCTTTTCAGCTCATCTGTGTTTTATTTTACAGCTGAACAGACTCTCTGATGTTAGAAGAGGGATGAAAGGAGAAGGTTGAGATCCTGAGTCTGTGCATGGCTTGCAGAGTTCTGCTCTTGTGATTTGGTCCTTGGACACCAGCTCTGCACGTGATGGATAAACAATTCAGTTAGCCAAGGTTTTATGCTTGCATTGAGCTCTCCAAAAGAGGGAAGGCAGGAGTATTCAAAGGGAGAGGGGCTTGGACTGAATTGAAGCCTTGAAAGAAGGTAGACAGTGATAAGACAAAAGGGAATGGTTTTCAACTAAAACAGGAGAGATTAGATCAGAAATCGGAAAAAATTTCTTCCCTGTGGGGGTGCTGAGGCACGAGCATGGGTTGCCCAGAGAAGCTGTGGCTGCCCCATGCCTGGAAGTGTTCCAGGCCAGGTTGGATGGGACTTGGAGCAACCTGGTCTAGTGGAAGGTGTGTCTGCCCGTGTCAGGTGGAATGAGATGAAGTTTAAGGTCCCTTCCCACCCAAACCATTCCATGACTCTGAAGTCCATGATTAGACCTGGGGTCATGTCTGCCTGTTGTTTTTAGGGAAGGTGGAGGACTTTGGTGCACTCACCAGAGGAAGAAACAAAAAAAAAAAAAAAAAAAAGAAAAGCTCTTGAGAACCGGAGGCTGTGAACGATGGAAGTGCCTGAATCTCTCCCAGCCGGTGAGTCCATAGGCTGGGAAGCACTGGGCTGTCTGTTTCCCTGCAGCATCATTTGTGGTCTCTGCAACTCCTTGGGAAGGTGATGAGTTTTTGTGGCTTTTGTTGTTGGAGCAGATGGAGACTGGGTGTGTGGGTGTGTGTGTGGGTGTGTGCTGCCCTGCAGCTTCTGCAGCCCTGTAAGATACCACAGGGAAAGGTGCTGAAAGCTTTGATGGGAAAAAGATTGATACTGAGTCCCTGTTTGTGCAAAATGGTTATGAAAGTCTCAGCTGAAACAGAGTAGGTCTATTTTAAAGTATTTATATCTATAATCAGACAGCCTGATTGGGGTTAAGCTTGATTTTTAGAGGGGAGGGAGAAAATAACTATAGAATCATGGAATGGTTGGAGTTGGAAGGGACCTTAAAGCTCATCTCTTCATAGCCCCCTGCCATGGGCAGGGGCACCTTTCACTAGACAAGGTTGCTCCAAGCCCCATCCAGCCTGGTCTTG